TGCCGAAAGTTGCGCTTCTTGACTTCTAAAATGGGACAAACCCTTTCCCCTTAGAATCCTACGTGCAATATGTCGACACCTAAGTTGCGGTCAGATTTCCACACCTGAAAGCTTTATAAGTTTATAAGTATTTAAACGGGTGTGGAAATTTGATCGCGCTGTACCTGCCAGGCAAAATGGACGTGTCAATCCGATCCGCTGTAGACCGCAAGTGTCATGTTGGAATAGAGTAAGAAACGTAAATTCTAGGGTTCTTGAAGTATAAATTGTCTGATTTCCTAAATGATGTCATCTTCGCCATGGTATGATGTCGCATTTGGGCATGATAAGATGTCATCCGTGGCGTGATATGATATCATCCTTGGCACGACGTCATTCTGGGTATGGTACGATGTCATCCCTGGGATAATATATTGTTTATAGATGATTTTAAGCAAGGAAAATATTGCTATTTATTGAATATTATTGGGGTTGAATTAATAATTGATTTTATAGTATATTGGTTTGTGTGTATTTTAATTGTTTTTAGCAGAATGGGAATAAGGGGGAAATATATCGATTATATATTTTTATTGTTGTATTTAGTAATATTTATATTATATATATTAATGAAAAATTTATTTATTTTGAATTTTGATAATGATATATTAATTTTGATGGATGAAAAAAATAATAATATAAATTGTAATAATTTTATTTTAAATTATATGTATTTTTCCATTATTTTGATCGGGGAATTTTTTTATAATTGGAATTGAATTGGATTCGGGATAATTGTTATGGATTTTTTAATATTAATTTATTGATTATAAATAATTTTTTGTTTATGTAGATGGGATTTTATTTATGATAGTATCGACACTTCTAATTTTGAATTGGTATATATTTATATTTGGATTTATTCGATCGTTGATTTTTTATCTAGAAGCAAGATTCTAGTGATATATTTACGTAGCGAATTAAACGATTAATTTCTACCGCAAATAATACTAGATGATGTTTATTTATAGCATTGTTTTTTTATTATGCTTTGTTCGAGTTAGAACACGTCCTATTATACTATTGTATTTTGAGTTTTGTACGTTGTGCCTTCACACAAAAGTATGTCCGAAGACGATTTTTCATTTCTAGATCTTCTGGAAGTGTTGGGTTCTTATATATTAAGAAACCAAGAATATAAATTGGAAACGAATTTACTTAGATTAGTGGCAAGGGCCGCTTTAAAGGCCGCTACAATTCTTCGGATTCATTATCGATATCCGATTACGATTTATTGGTCCAATTTCTGGCCAAGATCTGCCGTAGACAAGAAGATATGCTTAATTAGATGAATTTGGATCGCTGCTTTATATTCTTCCTTTAAACCGGAAAAAGCTCCATTCTGCCCTGCATGCTTCTGGCATCCCAGGAATGCAGAAGTAACAAGCAGGGGGTCACATGTCCGCTGAGGCAGGTGATATTCTTGAAGTTGATAGAAGAGCTAGTGCAACGGATATCGACTTTCAAATTAAACGATAAAGAGGACGTACTTTGCACCAACTTGAGAAGCAAGTAGATCTTGACCGAATCTAATGCTTGGAACTACGTGGCGTGGGACGTCTCGGCGAAATGCTTCCGACCCATTAAGCAGGAACCGTTGCTAGGAAATCGTGTCCGAGAGTTTTTGACTTTGCTTACGAGATTCGGTACCAACACCGAGCTGATCCACCGGTGTTCTCCCCTGCGGCCGTTGGATAAAACCGGAATTCGCGAGGATTCTTAAGTTACGATTCTATGGAGATTGGACATCTCCCATCGCTCTACCGAGAGCAGTCAGCTGTTTGGAGCCTCTGCGGCAACGGCATTGGCCAAATGATCCTATTACGGATTCGACCCGCAACACTGCAGAGATCTCAATTGACCCAAGCTGCGGCCCACAGAATCAGACGTTAGTTTATCGATTCTTGGAGCATGCCTTTCACAACAGTGGGAACACCTGCTTCCAGAATAGTGTGATGCTATGCCAACTCTGGGCAACTATATTGCTTGAAGACTTCACCCCTGATTGGTGGGGTCCATGGGGTCAGCCTATACAACGCTTTTTGATGAACGATTCAGGTGCATTAATGGATCTGAATATGGATGAACCTTTCATTAAGTTTTCTAGCACCTGGCTTGCGACTCATCCACCGGGGCGGCAGCAAGATGCTGCGGAATATGCAGGATGGTTGCGTGAGCAGTTTTTGCGGCATATGCCATGGGACATTATCCAAAAGGGATGGGAAAATAGAATGTTGGATGAAGTGGTTGACCGCGGCGCCATCTATGCCCCCATCCTGTTTCGATGTCTTGATCAAAAAACATGCCAATTGCAAGCTTTGATTTTTTTTGGCACCAACAGACACCTCACACAGTGGCACTCATATGTGCACATCCCATGGTATGCCTGCAGATTGAACGATTCCCTGACCTGAATCACAAGAATGAGATCCTGATTGATTTCCCCCGTATTGAGGTCATGCTACCAATTTCAGGAATCCTTTGTGAATGGCCTTCGCCTTCCAAATTGCTGGGTTTGCATTCAATTTGAAAGGTACCCGGCTTTGCATCGTTGTCATGACCATACAATGATTTGGGAATGGAATTCGATTCCTCTTCCCATCTTCAACCATTGCTCAGTGACATGGCATGAATATCAGATTTTGGCTGAAGTTTTGCACATGGTCGCCACGTCCACAGAAGGGTATTACCAAGTTGTCCTGTTTAATTCCGGCTCCGGCCTCCTATATAATGATATCACGATTGGTACGGGACCCTGAATTCTACAAAATTACAAAATCATCTATATATTGTGGTTGGCACCGTTGAGGCCTCTACCATTTGTCCGCAACCACACTCAGCTGCTTGGAAACCTGATTTCCGAGCATTTTGCCTAGACCATCTTTTCGCATTGCTTGCATCCAGATGGGCCATTGATTGTCGCTGAAGAGTCCACGTGCATCGCGCGGCCCAACACGGGCGGACCTCGACTCGTCCGTTGGCAGCTGAATAAATGAATCATATTAGTTAGGATCAAAAAATATATATTATATATATTGTAATATCTGTTTAAAGGGATTGTGTAAATGAAAGATTGGATTTAATATATTGGTGGGATAAATTGTTTAGGACATTATATTTAGATA